CCATCGGAAGTGTGCACAACAAACTTCATTAGTTATCGCCAATTTGCGCTTGCAGTAAATGTTCTGCAGCTGTCGTCCATAAATGTTTTTTCAGTTAATAATAAGTGGTAAAGAGTTATTTACCAAATTACAGATAAAAGAGGTAATAAAACTCTAGTAATGTACTACAAAAATTTTTTAATTTAAAAAAAAAAAGTGAAATTTTCTAATAGGACATTCTTCCCTGTTCTGCAAAAAAACGAGAAACAGAGTGGTGAATACATACGTACTACAAAACATGCTAAAAAAATGTTTTTTAAGTCAACATTAACATCAAATTTCTACGATTTATTCTAAAACTTTTTTCAATTTTTTTTTTGACTCTTTTTTTATAATTTATTTCTAGTGAGAACAGAAGAAAACAACTTTTATCATCTGCAAAAAGACTAAAATCAGGACAGAAAAAGCATTTTATTTTTACATATAAAGAGCAAACTATTTTAAAGTTTGATCAAAAAAAATGAATAACTTCTAAACTTTAAAGTTTACTTTGCTATTTTCCCTCTTTTTTATTTTCTTTCTAAAATTTGCCACACAATTTTTTCTTTCAAAGATGTTATTGACACCTGCTGTACTGTTTTGTTATACAATTTTCGATAAAATAGAGCAAACTAATGATTCTTGTAAAAAAGAAGAAAATTTTATATTTTGAGAACTTTTTAGTACTTTATTTTTTTTGACAGCTACCTCCCTTATAACACTGGAAAGTAAGCAAAATCATTTAGCACTTTAAAAGCGAAACCAGATTTTTAATGCCAATACACTGGTTGTATCTGAGAATACAGCATTCTACTTTCCAGTACGATCACTTCTAACATTCTTATTGCCCAAATACTCAGAAAATGTTGGTGCTGCTTACTGCATCAATGTAAATTTCAGTTGACCACAGTGCTAAAGATTCGGTTGCTCTGAAAACTGAAGAGTATTATAGTAAGTTGATAATTGATATACGTTCTTTCTCTTCACCTGCTTTTCTTCTTTGCTTCTTCATATCCTAAAATAGATTAAGAAGTCTCATCAATTGGTAACCAAAAATTTAACACGTGGAGGTCAGAATGATAAAATCAGATACTGTTTTTTGACCAAGCTGCATTGCTTAAATGTCCGCTTTTGACTCGACGAAGAATTATGTTAGTTGTCCAGGTTTCACGTTCCTGTCATTAGTTGACTATTTATTGACAGCTTTTAAAGTTTTTTCTAGTGTTTTTTCCTTTTATGTTGTTAATGACGTTTATAAAGAATATAAAAGTAACGACTCTGAACTGTAAAGCTTTTCAAAACGAACCGTCAGAAATGCACACATCAGAGAAACTTATTATTTCATGGGCACTATAATTTCTTTCATTCTGAGCACGAAGAGCGAGGCTGTATAAAATTCGGTACGTTCAGAAAGAGATAGGTTGCAGTTTGTAAGTTGCATGACTTTCACTATCCCGAGTTAGCGTTGATATTCAAAATCAGAAATCATGTGAGAAAAGTTTCTCAAGTTAAGAGTTTCACTTTGCATTGGACGTTGTGCGAGAAGAAGGAGAACTTCCGACAGAGTGCAACACCTCTAAAGCGGAACAAGTGCCACTTTTCCTGCTTAATTTCACTTTACACCCTTTGTCAAAGCCGTCTCGTGACATCCGCCAGCGTAAAATCTCGGCATTCGTTTTAATTAGCTTTCATAATTTCTTCTTATACTAACATGAAACATTGACAGCGGAAGCCTGAAATAGCCTGAAATAACGACCTAAAATAGCGCAAACAAAATTCTAGCCACTATTTCTGCGAAAATCATTTCACAACAATTTAAAATATTTTTATTGTTCGTACCATTAAAAGTCAGAGAACATGTAGCTAAAGTCGAGATAAATATCAAGCCTCGTTTTGATATTTTTGTGAAGATTGTTGGCAAAGTGTAAATTTGAAAGAAAGATCTTAAACTAAAACCAGTCACAGTATTCACTGGAAAGTACTCAAATAAACCACTTTCACTTGGCGATGATAGTTTAAATACTGTTGAATCTAGCTTTACTAGCAGTTTTTTTACCCAAGTTTTGTCTGTTTTTCGTCTGTGCTTTTTTTTTCACTTCTTTCGCTACTTACACATTCAGCTGAAGGTATAATTTATCCTAGCTAAATACTAATCCTTTTAGTAAAAAGATAATTCTGCAACATTCCGTGCTGAGAACCGCAAATTACATCTTAAATGTAGCTGACTTTGTCAAAAGACTGAATTCAAACAAAAAAAAATGCGTAACAGGCATTCTAAGGCAATAATAAATATATAAAACCATCTTAAAGCAGAGAAGTTTTTCAGAATTCCTCTGAACAACAGTCATTATTTTCAATTTTCCTTCGCAAGAATTCTTTAAAATTTTTTTCGTTCAATAATTTATTTGCTAAGAAAACTCTAAAGTTCCTTGAAAAATTTTATAATTGATTGTTAGTAATTAGATATAAAATAACTGGGAACAATGCTTTTTACCATTGTATTGACAAATATAAAAAACCATTATAAACCAGCTCTGGAGATGCTCTCAAAGCAAATTAATATGAAATAGAATCATTACTTGGTTCTACTCTTTTGAGAACATTTCATGTAAGCACTCGAAACCCTAAATATCAGTTAGAAAACTACGAGTGCCCTCTTCAAACTAAATTTTCACATACAGTGAAAATAAATATTTTGAGCAGTAAAGTTTCAGTCGCATGCGTACCAGTTAGAGTAAATTGTTTCATGGCTTTACAACCATCTCGCAAAAAAACTTTCCTTTTTTTAGCGTTTCAGATGTGACTTACGTCAAACACTGTAACTTGTCATAGCTTCGCTTTAAAACTGAATTTGTCTTTGAGAATAAACCAAAATCCCGTATCTTTATAAAATTTCTGATGACAAGAGGAGTAATAAAATGCAAACTTTTATGTGAGCAAAAAGTACCATCAAATAGATGGAAGATAATGTGAAACCTATTTGTCAGAGTTCAGATACTTTTCCTTTCAATCAATAAATAATCTTAATCGGGTGTATATGAGCTAACTTCATTAGCAACTTGCCAGGAAGTTTTTTTCTAATTTTATCATTGTCGTGATTCAGTTTTCTCAGTGATCCTTTATTATGACATTCTGTTATTACATAAATGATGTCTTCTCCATTAAAAAACCCTTTGCAAATTCACTCTTAGCAATGGAATAAGCACTACTGCATCAGAAGTCAATCTTCAAAAACCAAAGCTCTGAATGCGTGAAACTGATGACGTATAGATAGACTGTATAACGAGAATGAATTGTTTAAGTTACTTACAGAAAGTGAACAAAGCTTAAGCAAGGTCTGCAAAGCAATCATGAAATCCTTGTCTTCTCCTCTTTAAAAACTCAGCAATAAATTTTCCTTTAGCTTCAAATTCAATCATTCTCACTCACCAACTCCGCATGCTTTTCGCAACTTTAAAACCTAATCGTAACGTTCCTCCGTGTTCTATAAATTACAGCATAACCTCTTTTTATTTTACTGTAAAAATTCGTTACGAGTAAACACACGGTATTGCATTATATCACCAAAGTAAAGCACAAAAAATTGTGAAAATACGGTTATTATTTAACGTAAAACCTAAAGGGTAAATTCCTGCACATCCAATATTTCAAAGTTTTTTATACAACGAACACCGTAAGTTAACCTGAAAAAAAACTTTTGAGGTATTTTAAGTCGCACTTTTACAACCAGTGTCTCAAAATTCTCTTTAAAACTTAGAACTTTCTCGGCTTATATCACGAGTCCGTGATCGCATGTGCAGCTTACAGTATCAACCAACTTTAATGTAGCTGAGGCTAAGATGTTAATGTAAATAACCTTATTCTAACAACTCGTACCAGAGTCAAGAACTAGAAAAAAGAATTTACAAAGACCGAATATAAAATATTGAATGAGTTGAAACTTTTAGAGACAAACGTCTTGAGAAACCATTGAGTCAAAAGAGTACAGAGACGAAAGCCTTGATGAAGTAATTGCCAGCAAAAGTTTTTTATGTTGAACAACAAGTCCAAAGTGATTCCTATACCTCTTTTAAGCAGTTTGATCTGGTTAAGAAAAAGCTTAGAAAACGAACAAGACGCAAATGAAGAGCCAAGTACTAAATCGTATCCACACTACTCTTCAATACAGCAAAACTACTCTTCACTCATTATTTCACTTGATCATTTTCAGTTTTTTTTACTGTAGTAAGCTCAAATCCGATAAGCAGCATATTGTACTGCTAAGTTTGCTCAAGCGAAAGATCACCGCCGCTGTTTAAAAATCCAGGAAAGTAGAGATCCATGTGGAACAACTTCATTAGATATAAGTCAGTAACTCAAAAAACAATTACTTTATAAAAGATGATAAAGAAAACTACACTTGTTTTTTAATAGCTTCTGACCTCAACCTGGGTCCAAGTGTCCTGTTTCTTCAGAGGCTTCCCTCCAAAGCGGCGCTAGATTTCGGCCAAATTCTTCTGCGCATGGTCACAACAAAGCTTGCTTATAGAAAATTTTTGGTAAAAATTTTCAAAAATTTATGGAGGGTTTCAGATTGTTTTCTTAAAAAGTTGTTATTTAATAATTTGAAAGAATCTGTGGATAACTAAGAATGTCCTGTAAAAATTAGTCTAGGACAAGACAAGCAGGGCTATCTTTTATAGCCATAAGTACCGCCAAAGAAACTGCAGTTGTTGCAAGATGATTTCGGATAACAGAATTGCTGTAATCGGGGTCGATTTAGGTAAGCAAGCATCCTACTACCATTCTCTTAAATTACGTGTTTGAAGATATGAGCTTCTTTAAAGTTACCTCATTTGCACACCAAACACTTTAAACGCTTTTAAAAGTTTTTTGAAAAAGATTTCAAAGAAATTACAAAAGCTTTTTAGTCGAAACGAAATACCTTGGTAGCGGGCCGACAACTGAGAGTGAAGTGCAAATTAGCTGTTCAAAATGGACCTTTATGGCACCGATGTCTATAAAAATTCTTTTGCTTGTACGTCTTGTAAAGATTTTACCGAAGAAGTCTGGTAAGAGTGCTTTGTGAGGTATAGTAGGTTTCGGTTCACCAGAATTTCACAGATATATGAAGCCATCAGAACTTACTGATTTAAGAAACAAGTTGGCATTTGGTGATTTATTTACAAACCTACCAGTTTCCTCCCCGAGGTAAAAAAATTATTTCTGCTTATGTGAAACCCATATACATTTCATCTGAGTTCAACTGAGGTGCCGTCTCACAGGTCTTAGAACCCGGCTTGTATACCTTCTAAAGGAAGCTTCATACTGCCTTATCCTCAATATTTTTCCAACTGACCCCGCGAAAAAACAATATACTGTGGTCTTCAAAAAAAAAGTTACATCTTTCCAAACCTCAGGAAAGCAATGTCCACAGTGGCTTACCACCTAAAGTGACTGTGCCCAAACTCCCGAAGCATAAGCAAAATCCAGTAGCTAACAAATGGATCTGTACAGTTTCGTATCTGTCACTCAATACTGATCACTTAATAAACAAAACTTGTCTAGTAAAATCATTTAAAAATTTTTCCAAAAGGTTTTTAAAGACGTCGAGAACCATTTGTCATGCCTTATAATTTGATTCCAAATGGAAAAACTTATATGGAAAAAAGCTAAATTCTTAGGCTTTTTGAAAAAACCAATACCAAACAGCACAATCTTAAACTCAACCAAAAACCGTCTTTAAGTTATCCAATAAGATCTGCTCTGAATTCTTCAAAGATGTTTTTTAATCGGAAACCTTGTTTTAATCAGTTTATCATGAATACCATATGAAGTTTAGTTGGGCAGCTACTGACGGAACCAATGCCAGGAGTGAAAAACCTTCATTAAAAGATTTATGTTACTTCATCATGACTATAAAAGAATTACATGCGAGAAAACACCAAGAAAACCAGCTTGAAAAACAAGATAACACTTCTCTGAAAGACCTAGACAGACTTCCTTAGACCAGTAAAATGACGTATATTGCATACAGTTAGTACCGTCACACAGAAACTTATATTCAAGATAACGTATTGCACTATAATTTCCTCTGTCTCAGCTAGTTATGCAAAATCCGGTCACAAAAACTTACAAAATAATGAATTTTTGTCTCAACACCGCACCCTTCCACATTCAACGAAAGTTCGCTACAACGTTCTACAGGCAAAAATAACCAAAAACACTGCCAATAACGCAAAGAAAGTCTAGAAACTGTTAAAACAAAAAATGCCTTCAATTTAACTTATAATAATCAAAAATAAACTTATTTACTCCAAACAACACCAAGAAACCTTCACCTTCATTCAAGGCAATTATGTTGTGACTTCTAATTAAATGTTAAAAAACAAAGAACTGCGTAGAGGAAGCAATAAAAAATAAAAACTTTTGATTTAACAAACAAAGAAAGCTGAAAACAGTAAATGAAAAACGAATTAAACTCTTAGCAAGACAAGCCTCAATGTTTAAAAGTGGAATCCACAGTAATCCCAAAATAATAAGAAAACTGACCGAATAATACTTTGAAAGAATTGCACTATGCACTCAGGGTCTACAGGGAGACAGAAGACTATTTGAAAAATTAAATGACAAAATCTTTTGTAATCTTCTAAAACACTGGGAGTAATAACGCGACTCTTGACTTCGGACGACCCTTAAATATAAACACTTTGAGCAAAATTTAACATGGTTTCGCATTGAGAGTTAACCCGCTATGATTATGACATCATTTATTTTCTAAAATTTTCAACGACTCGT